ATCACTTCCAGCATAAATGAAGACAGAAAACTAAACAGCAGTGACGTTTGTAGGGTTACTGAAGTTGGGCTAGCTGGTATATAATGATGTGCTACGTGACCGCTAGCGACACAGCTATGTTAGCATAACACAAACAAGCTAACTTTTTTTCCACTCGATAAAAGTTAACGTGAGTGTTCTCGGTGGTCAGGAACAAATGTAATCGCATGGCAGGATGCTGTAAAAGGACCAAACTTCAGCCAGGAGAACAACTGAGACAATCCATACACAATACGAGGTTAGTCATTCATATACTGCTGCATGGGCTGGGCTGTAGTTACATCCTAAGGTTTTAAAAACTGAGCTTAAATAAATGATTAGTGGTAATAAAAGCCGAGGGAGGTCAACAGTGATCGCTGACTGTTTTAGGAGCTTTTTGAGATAAAATAGAAGAAAATACATAACATTAAACATGTTAACAACACAAAAGCCATATTAAACGCAGACTACTTTAGACCCGGAAGTACGATTCGTCACGTCATCACTGAACAACCGGATAGCAACTAAGGATACACAGAGATGCGAACTTGACAAGGGGATACAGCTGACAGGGGAGACAGAGCAACTAGAGAAGACAGAGACATAAACCATAAGACAGAACTCAAAGAAACCAAAGACTAGAAATGATAAATAATATAATAAACTCAAAAACCCTGGGTCAATGACCCAGGCATCCTAACAAAAACATTAGAGGATTATTCATCACAGTGTGTTTAATCAGCTGTTGAAATGCTAAAGTCAGTTATCAGTTAGCACGCTACTTTAGTTAGCTTGGGCCCTTATAATCATCACGTTCCTCATAGCTTCCTGAATGACTGCATTCCAGTAGAGCACAAGTTGCACAACATGGTTCAGCATAACCTACAAAAATCTGGTGGCCCAAAACTGACATTTGGATATGTGACAAAATGTTGAGGTTGAAATTCACAGATGCCAACAGACTCAGTGACAAAATGTTTTCTCAATCTCACCTGTGCCAACGGCAGAAAATGATAGATGAAAAAGCTTTTCACACATAACTGGAGTGCATCTTTCACAGTCTTGTTGATTTTTTACTGGGTCTGTCTGTCTAGCCAGGTGGAGGATCTTTTTACACTTCAGGTTACCGGGGCTCGTCAATATCATGCTAATATCAGCACCTAAAAGTGAAGATAATCGAAGGTAATGAACCTAATGAACCATTAAAATTTTGAGTGTGTACAAGGTCATACTTGCTCTCCTGATAATCTTATGTTAACACTAAAGATTTTGATTAACTGCTAAACTTGTTTCCAATTTATAATTGAGAAGACCTGACTGTTATACTGTAGCATAACAGGAGGAGAGCATCTGTAAGCTCCTCTTCTTGCTCATCCTTCAACAGTTCAAGCATATTTTTATCTATTTCCAGATTCTGTCATTTTACTGTAAGTACTGCATCTAATATAACATTGATTGCTGCATTAATCTCTTCCCCTAAACCAGTTATTTTCAGATTAGGACTCTCCGGTGATATTTTGAGCTCTGGAGACACACACACATATATATGTCTTGCGCTACTGCTGTTTTGTTAAAAGTAAAATGTTTTCTGAAGCGGCTAGTCTTTGGGAGTAAAAATTCATGCTTAATAATGACATTACATTCCTGTGTACTGTGGAAGAATTAATAAGATTCCGTACTGCTTACAGAAAATGTCTTCAAATTCAATTTTACTGCTCAAAAAAATCACATTGATCAATAGATCACACTATGTAATCAATTTACACAAACCTTTGGAATTGGATAAAAGAGAGAGATTGAATATTTATTACTTCTGACTGGAGGAAACAAAACTTTAATCAGCATCTCTCGTAGTAGTCACACTTCTGTTTTTCAGGTTCAAAACAAAAAACATACACATTGAAAAGATCAAATGTAGAAAGAAATCTGGAACAGATGCTATTTGGAAAACTGAAAAAACTAAAAATTCAAAATCATAGCTTACCTTCAAGAGGAAAAAAATAGAGACAACATCAAGCATACATAAGCCACTTTAAATTTGTTATACTTTAAACATTCAGAACAATTGTTGTGCTTGATCATTTCTGCTTTGTTTGTTAGGTTTGTTTATGTGAGCAGCAACTAATTTCTTTTAAACCTTTCCTTTCAAAGTGATTCTTAATCTGAGCTTTACCTGCATTAACATGTAAACCTTTGTTACAAAGTGCATTACAAATTTTGTTTTGTAATGCTTTCATATTTTTTTCCATTTACTGATTAATGCTTGTATAATAGTTGGTTAAATCAAGTTGATGCTGATGTTCTTACATGTTTTTTAATGTACTGGAAATTAAAATCTTTCATCTAATGTAATCATTTTGAACTGTGGCTCGGGGAGAGTCCAAGAATAAAAATATGGAGTAACGTAATCACCTTATATGTAATGACGTAAGGTGATCTCTAGTTAAGATTTGCAATCTTGTTCACTAGCTGCATCACTTGAATTTAATTAAATATTCAGGATAAGCTTGGATATCATGGAAGACAACAAACATGCTGGGATTGGCCATGTTGTCCACAACACTGTCGTACAGGTCAGTGGAAATGGTGCTGGTGCCTTTTGGTGGCGGTACAATCATGCCTTGTTGTCCAAGAGCAAAGTCCCCAGTCAGAACTCGGCAGACGTACATGAACTTCTCCCCGTTCTGATTAGGCTTGGAGTAGGTATTGCTCGCAGAGTAACTTGCATTGACAGCAAAGTAAGTTCCATTGCCGTAGCATGCAGCTGAAAATAGAAGAGAAAGTGTCAATGGAAAATTGTATTTAGTAGTCAGTATAATCTTTTAGTGATATAAGTTTGCTTATGGTAGGATGCTGTTTGTAGTTATTTGGTAGTGACAGGATGTGTGATTTTTAGCAGGCTTGGTTCACCCCCACATCCTGGGAGCGTGGGAGAGGTCGTACCTTGTTTTATTG